CCTCCACTGGCTTCCATCCCCCGCCCCCCTCTGCCAATCCCTGCACTGGCTTCCAATAGCCCAAAGGATAACATTCAAAATGTTAACAACCACTTACAAAGCCCTCCACAACTCCGCCCCCGTCTATATCTCCAACCTCGTCTCAAAGTATCACCCTAACCGTCCCCTCTGCTCCTCCCTAGACCTCCTGCTCTCTCTCACCCTCATCAACTCCTCCCATGCTCACCTCCAGGACTTCTCTCCCATCCTCTGGAACTCTTTACCCCAACCTGTCCATCTATCTCCCACTCTGACTGCTTTTAGGCGATCCCTAAAGACTCATCTCTTCAGACTAACCGTCCCCTCTGCTCCTCCCTAGACCTCCTGCTCTCTCTCACCCTCATCAACTCCTCCCATGCTCACCTCCAGGACTTCTCTCCCATCCTCTGGAACTCTTTACCCCAACCTGTCCATCTATCTCCCACTCTGACTGCTTTTAGGCGATCCCTAAAGACTCATCTCTTCAGGGAAGCCGATCCCACCTCAACCTAACCGCTCAACCATTCATCCCCACACAGCTACCTCCTCATGTATCACTGGCCCCTCCCCTTTTAGATTGTAAGCCCTCAGGGGCGGGGCCCTCCTTACCATCTTGTCTTGAACCGTATTGTGATTGTAATGTCTTCCTTATATTGTACAGCGCTGCGCACACTGTTGGCGCCATATAAATCCTGTATAATAATAATAATGTCGCTTTGGTTGCTTGAAGAAAGTATTTGTAATGAAGAGGTGATTGTAGCTACAAATGCTCATTAGTCCAGCTTCTGCTTCATTTCTGTTCCCAAGACTGTATGTCCTTCCTTCTTACTCCCTACCCAGATATTCTAGTCACTAGCCGTATGCATTGCCTGCAGGTCTTGTCGCGATGATACAACTTGTATAACTGAGACATTGAATGGCTGCGCTGGAAATCGAATTGATATTAGTCAGTCATGTACGGCCATATATCCAGGGACAGTCGTGTTCATGTCCAGGGCCGGATTTCCCACAAGGCCACCGAGGCCCAGGCCTCGGGGCGGCAGAGCGCAGAGGGGTGGCAGCGGTGACCTTGTGGGGAAGTTGCGGGCGCCGGTGTAAGGTGTCCCGGCGGCGGACTGTAGTGTGCGGCCGCCGTCCAATCACAACGGGGTGGGCCGA